CTATACAGAGAAACCCTGTCTCGAAAAAAACAAAAACAGTCACCTCACCTAGAGCCCACCCTCAGGAAGGCTAAGGCCACGCTAAAGAGATGGAAGAGTAATTACCCCCTTCATGAAACCAACTTCCTCAGGGCAACCACCCTCAGAGCCTCTGTCATAGAACCTGCCTGCTTTGCTGAGGCCTAAATCAGGAAATTATAACCCCTCCCCATTTTATAGTCCAGCCGAAAGCCTTATAGTGCTTTCCCTGACACTCTGTGAAGGGTTAATTACTTACAGGCCTTAGGTGTACTGAAGCTCTGAGCAGGAGAGTTGACCTGATTGATCACACACGTGGAAGTGTCTGATAAGGAGATGACACATCAAACCCTCTGGCATCTGCCACCTCCAGACTGCAGGGGAGCTGCCCTACAGATGGACTCTGCCTCCCCCAAAGTGACCCCTTCACAATCCTATTAAAGCCCAAGATCCCACACACTAGATGCTCAGATGCCAGACTGCATTTCAGTTGTTCTGATTAGCAGCACCTGGACTTCTGGAGCAGTCTGCTCCCCTGTGCAGCCCTGCTCCCCTTCGTAAATGCTGGCAAACCTCCATTGGCAATACCTGCTTTCTTGGGCCCTGACTTCAAAGGTCTGGCTCTTTCTTCCTCTTCTCCTCCTCCCTCCTGCAGCATCTGCTGAGATTTGTCACTCATCTGCCTTATTTTTCTCTTCAACTCTAATAAAAGTGTCCGCCCTGAAGTGTCCTTCTGAGTACACTTTTAAAATTGTATTTATTAAGATAGAGACTCATCATTTAACAATAGCTGGCCTTGAATTCACAGAGATCCACCTGCTTCTGCCTTTTGAGCACTAAGACTAAAGGCATGTATTACCATAGCTGACTATGAGTCCATTTTTTTTAAATTTTTTTTTGTGGGGTTGGAGACAGGGTTTTTCTGGATTGCTTTGAAACTAGCTGTTGTATACCAGGCTGGTCTTAAACTCTGCCTCCCAAGTGCTGGGACTAAAGGTGTGTGCCACCACTGCCCAGCATAGTGATACATTTTTATAAAGGTATTTCTTGACTCCCAATAGACTTAACTTTTGGCAACCCGCACAGAAAAGTTAATAATACCCCTCAGAGATTGAAAGACCCCCAACTCAAGCCTAGCCTGATATCCACCAGCATGTATTTGAAAATCACTCTGGCCACAGGACAAAGGACACATGACATGGTCGGTCATGATGACCAGTCCCTGGAAATTGTTTTTTGTTGTTGTTGTTGTTTGTTTGTTTGTTTTTCGAGACAGGGTTTCTCTGTGTAGCTTTGAAGCCTATCCTGGCGCTCGCTCTGGAGACCAGGCTGGCCTCAAACTCACAGAGATCCGCCTGCCTCTGCCTCATTAGTGCTGGAATTAAAGGCGTGCGCCACCAACGCCCGGCTGGAAATTGTTATTATTACTAGTTTCTATTATCACCCAACAACTGTCTGGTTTCTAAAAATTGTTATGGGTTACCCTGCTCCAGAGCACCCAAGTTTTGAAAATAAGTATAAGTCACTCTGTTCCCAGAAAAACCACTAGCTGTCCCATGGCCTTGCATGTGTAAAAACCAAAATAACATTCCAAACCCCTCATGGGCAAAATTGTAAGTTCAGTTCCCTACCAGTCAGAGAATGACTCACGTATGTTATAGCCAATCAATATGTTGTCACACTCCTGCCTAGTGACCAAAAGGACATAAAAGCTGCCTGCTTTGGAAACTCGGGGTCTGGAACAACCCCAACACGTTGGAATAAAATACTTTTGCTTTTGCATCGAACTTCTGTCCTGTGAGTGACTCTGAGGGTGCGTCTCCCGGAGTTGGACTTCACTTTTGGGTCCAAAAAGATCATTTAAGACTGTGTAGTTAACCTGCTATCCTACTGTGTGCTTTCTCAGCCTGCTTAAGTTTAACCACCCTTAGGGAACACTGGAACCAACCTTACTTGCCTTGGATTTCCCATGCAATCAGCTTTTACAATCCAAACCAATGCATAGCTTTAATCTTAAATTATGTACCCTTCAATGCCCTATCTAGAATAACATATATGTGTGTATGTGTTTGTGGTGGTAATTATTTACTGGAAACAGCCAGCAGGTTACAAGAAACCTCTAAACTAACAGCCCCCAAACACCTTGCTGTAAGGATTCAGGCATTATGCTGGCCTGCCCCTGTCTCCTGGCAGAATGCATTCAGGCAGTCCCTGGTCAGCCCAGGGTTCCATGGTCATGGCTTCTACATCACACAGGTGCAAAAGATTCTTTAAGAAACAAAACAAAACAAAACAAAACAAAACACCTGCCCACTTCCGCCCCCCCCCATTCCTCTGAAGGGGCAAATATGGTTCTTCTTACCTCCCTCATCTCCCTCTCCCCATCTCTCTCCCTCTCTTTCTCTTCTCTCCCCCTTCTCCCTTCTCTTTCTAATAAAACTTCTCACTTAAGCTCTTTCTACCTGTTTGTCCCTTGTCGCCCTTGGAATCCACCAAGGCTCCCCACTGGCTTTATTCCTAACACTTGCAAACAATACACTATAGAGGGGGTGTTGGTGGCACAAGCCTTTAATCCCAGCACTTGGGAGGCAGAGGCAGGTGTATCTTTGTGAGTTCAAGGCCAGCCTGGTCTACAGAACGAGTTCCAGGACAGGCTCCCAAGCAATACAGAAAAACCCTGTCTCGAAAAACCAAAAATAAAATAAATACACTATAGACTGATAACATCTATTGTTGGCTTTTAGTTACTAGTCTGGGTCAGCTGGAAGTAGTAAAGTGACTTTCCTTCGTAAAACTTAAAGATTTCTGTAAGGAATCCCTCATTCTTGGCCCAGGTTAGTGACTCACTCCTTTAATTCCAGCACTTGGGAAGTAGAGGCAGGTGGATCTTGGTGAGGTATAGTACAACCAGAGCTGCATAGAGAGACCTTATCTCAAAACAAACACAGAGTCAAGCCCTGTTAGGGACAGGCACAGTTTAAGAATAAACACACACAACAGACAGATTACAGACAGACCAGAAACCAGACAATGCACAGTTGGAAGGTAAAGGAAGAGAAATAGAACATTTGGGCTCAATCTTGGTCAAATTAATCTAAGAGGAAGCTGCTGTGTTTTCACTGCTTAATGAGTTAATCCACATAGTGTGGCACTAGGGATCCATAGAGCAGTACCCAGGGTAATGATAAATAAAGAAGAAAGGCGGAGTGGGTACCTTTCGTCAGGCCCTACCAAGGTATGCCACCAAGAAAACATTCCACTAGCCACTCAAAACAGTTAGTGCAAGAGGTTTATTGGTGAGGGGGAGTATGAAAAGCCGCATTAGAGTTCTGACAGGAAAGAGGCAAGCAGGCAGGCAAACAGGCAGACAACAGAAAAGAGGGGCAAGAAACAAGAAAGGCAAGAGAAGCAAGAGAGGAGCCAGAGGAAATAGAGGAAAGAACAGGGCTGGAGAGATGGCTAAGCAGTTAAGAGTGCTGGCTGTGCTTCCAAAGAACCCTGTTCAATTCCCAACAGCAACACGGCAGATCACAATTGTGTGTAAACTCCATTCCAGGGGATCGATCCAACACTCACACAGACATACGTGCAGGCAATATACCAGTGTACATAAAATAAAATTGTTAAAAAAAATGAGGAAAGAGCAGGCGAGAGAGGAAAGGAGGCATAGAGAGACGGGGCAAGCTGTGCTCTGTCAGGCACTTTTTTTTTTTTTTTAAAGATTTATTTATTTGTTAAGTATACAACATTCTGCTTCCATGTATATCTGCACACCAGAAGAGGGCACCAGATCTCATAAGGGATGGTTGTGAGCCACCATGTGGTTGCTGGGAATTGAACTCAGGACCTCTGGAAGAGCAGCCGGTGATCTTGACCTCTGAGCCACCTCTCCAGCCCCCACTTTTTTTTTTAAGTTTTTATTTATTTATTATGTATACAGTTATCTGCATGCATGCTTGCACACCAGAAGAGGGCTCCAGATCTCATAAGGGATGGTTGTGAGCCACCATGTGGTTGCTGGGAATTGAACTCAGGACCTCTGGAAGAGCAGACAGTGCTCCTAACCTCTGAGTCAGCTCTCTTAACCACTGAGCCATCTCTCCAGCCCCCTGTCAGGCACTTTTAAGGGGTACACATGATCCATAGCTGACAGTGGAAAGGCACCTGTCAACAGGTGATGACATAATTGCTTTGGTGGCAGAGGCAGCCTGCTGCTGCAACAAAAACTAACACCCAGGGCCTAAATGTTCAGGCATGCTTGAGACACTCCAATTCCTCCAGCAGCCAACAATGGTCCTACCTTCAGAGTCTGAAGCCCTTCCCAGCCCAGGCTTTACTCAATCTGTTGTTGCTTGTCAGGTTCCAGAGAAACCCTGACAGGGATCACTCAGTACCTGTGTCTCTTCCCCACCCCCTACCCTAAACCTCTCCAGCCCAGGGGCTGGGCTTTGCTTCCCTTCCCCTAGATTCTTGGTCCTATATAAATCTGCCATTTTGGCCATGTGTTGTTCTCTTGGTCCTTGGTTCCTCTTGGTCTTCTGCCCTTGGTTCCTGGTCTTGCCCCTCTCTCAGGAACTTTCACTCCCCAAGCCTCTTCTCATAGTCCAGTTCAGTCTGGACTCTTCCAGATGTCTCTGGCTGTTCTCTCCCTCATCTATAATAAAACCCTTCTGGACCATACCTTGGGGGCAGTCATGTCCTCATTCCAGACAAGCCTCTGCTTTCTAAATGGGTACAGATAGCAAGAGGTCCATGCCTAGGTGGTCACACAAGGTGGCTATTTGGACGGTCCCTTCTGCTGGATCTAAAGATCTGGAATATTTGGCTCTGAACTGGATCCATGCGACTGGATCCCTTCCAAGCGTGCTCACATTTCCAGTCGTGTAGAGTAATACGCATTTGGCCTTCTGTGGGAAGGATTTCAACAGAGACACCAGTACGATGTCTCCCACTGTCCCATCCCCAAGCCCCTTTACAGAGGATTCAAGGTCACTCACTGAGCTTTATTTGAAAGTAGAAGGCCTTATTTGTCTCCAGCCCCAGTGCCCCAGGAAGAAGTGGATGAAGTAGATTGACACCAAGAGCCAGCTTCCCTGCCCCCTCTCCACCACCACTGAAAGAATAGGAGGGTCAAGCTCGAAGGTTTGGGACAGTCATGGCAGCACTTTCAAGGCTGAGGCAGGAGGACAAGTTCAAGGCCAGCCTGTGCTGCATGATGAGATCCTGTCTCCAAACGACCCTTAATTATAAAAGAGAGAGAGAGAGAAAGAGAGAAGATCCACAGGTGTCCTGGCTGGCACTAAAGCTCTTCTCTTGGGTTCTCAGGTGAGCAGGACCCTTGAGTGCCCCCACACAGCAGTGCCTCCAGAGTCTCATGGCCTTGGCGGTAGGCTTCATAGATCTGGTCTTCTCCAAACTCTCCCAGATACTGGAAACATGTCATGGAGAGCCTAAGGGAGCAATAGGCACATTGTACTGTAACGTACCCACAGAGAGTTGGGGGGCAAACCAGGACTCAGCGACTCCTTCCCCACCTTGTCATTACCTATTGGGCCAGGGACCCCCAGTAATCATCACGCTGATGGGTGGCTCTGTCCCCTTGCTAAGTCCTGGGCCCATGAGACGTTTCATCTGGTTCACTTCTTGAACTCCATAGCTGATGGCAGTGGGAAGCAAGGGTTATAGGATCAATAGGGGCTGGCCAGGAAGGGACTTGCTTCTAGTCTAAGTACACTGGACATTTGCCGAGCTCAGACAGGGTTAAATCCAAGGCCGAAGATCTCACAGTGACCTTTCTGTGGCCATTTGTTCTCCTGCTTGCTCCCAAGCGTAGCTCTAGCCCAGATTTCAGCCCAGCCAACCTCCTCCCTCAGGCCGGAGCCTTTGTGAAACAGGCATGTGATGTCACTGCAAGGATGGAGGTCTGTACCCACCAGCCCTTCCCCTTAAGAAGGTGGCAGGGCCTTGGCAACTCACGACTGCCACTTCTGAGAGCAGGTCTGGTCCAGGACATCTGTGTATATCGACTCACTCAGCTCTTGCAAGTCACTGGAGTCTGGAGACTTGGCCTCTGCTCTTGCCAGATGTTGCCCCATCTAGAATGGTGAGGTGCTGAGAGCCAGGACTGCTGTCAATTGTAAGGAGGGAAGGACAGACACTCAAGTCTCTGGGGACATTGAGGTGGCAAAGGCGCTGTTGAGAAGCACCTGTGAGGCAGGCTGCAGGGGCCCCCCTCTCTAAGCCCCAAAGATGGGCTGGGCCAGTTCAGGCAGGACCTACTTTCCTGGGGGAAGGGGAGGAAATGCTGTGTGAAAGACCCCAGCCCCTCTTTCAGGGCACACTTACTACTTCTAAACAATGAGAACAAGGAAAGCCAATAATAATCATAATAATAATAAACAAAATAACCAGAGACCAGTCTTTAATTCACATGTATTCACCTACATACAGAATCATGGTCACACAGGCAGGCTTGAGAGGGGCAGGTATGGTGGCTTCACATAGCCACACATATACCCAATATATGTGAAGTAAAGGCATCCCCAGGGCCTGGGGATGGTGTTGAGAAGCAAAAGGGTACAGAGGAGGAATCTAAGAGGCTGAATGATTCCCTGAATGACAAGACAAGATGTGGACACCTTAGAGTGCCTCTTCTTAGGTGACCAGGCAAATGGGTAAACTGAGGCATAGCAATTCAAATGAAGGGGGCTGGAAAATTGACAGGGGGAGAGTACTGCTTGGGGGTGAGGGCTTGGGATTAAAGGCCAATGGTGGCAGAGTGGTCTAAGGACTGCTGAGGGACAGGCAGAACTTACTTGGTAGGCCACGGCCCGGCAGGCATCACAGCGCAGGTGAGCAGGCATATAAGATGCGTACTTCTCTTCATCATCCAACACTGGAGCGGTAGCTGAGAGTGAAGCCCTGTCCCCAAGGCTTCCCAGGACAGCCTTGCACCCAAACACTAGCAGCAATGACAGGGGCAGCCTCATGGCCTCTCAAGTTACTTCATGGAGCATGCACTGTGGTTGGGGCGCAGATGGCATCCGAATTATCTGTGGCTTAGACCAATAGGGAACTGACACCTCACTGGCCCCTTCCCTTCCCCCATGGCCCTGGAGATGCCACGTACGCAGTTTCCATAGTGGAACCTTGGTTCCAACCGACTCAGCCCCATTTCACAGACAGGGGATGAAGGTGCAAAGAGAGAGGCTGAGGCTGGATATCGACACATGGGGGCTGATGGATCTCACATACTGTGGCCTGATCAAGTGGGAGGGACTGTTGAACATCCTGTGGGCTGAGGTGGTTGGTTGCAGTCATCTTTATTCTACTGCAGAGGATGTGAAAGCTCAGAGAGAAAAGACAAATCCACCTGCTAGAGGAGCCATGTTGACAGTAATCCCCAATGTCTGCTGGTCACTCAGTTACCGAGAGGAATGTGCCATGGTTTTGGTTGCCAACCTAAGGCTCTCACTGTAGTGAGGCAAATTTACTGAGTCTCGGTGAGCACAGTATATAAGAGCACACATGGTCTCTTTCTCCAGTCCCAGGGTCCCCTTCAACCAGGCCAGAGCCGGGCATGGAAGGGTTTCATGGGGCTTGGTTAAGAGGCAGCAAGCTAGCTTGGTGTGGTTGTGCACACCTTTAGTCTCAGCTAGTCCCAGCACTCGGGAGGCAGAGGCAGGTGAATCTCTGTGAGTTCAAGGCCAATCTGGTCTACAGAGTGAGTTCCAGGACAGCCAGGCTGGTGAACAGAGAAACCCTGTCTCAAAAAAAACAAAAAAAAAAAACCCCTTCCCAAAAAAAAAAAAAAAAAAAAAAAAAAAAAGAGGCAGCAAGCTGAAATAGCTCAGTGGTTAAGAACAAATGCTTCTTTTGCTGAGAACCTGGATTCAGTTGCCATCACTCACATCTGTAACTTCAGTGTCAGGGGATTCAATGCCCTCTTTCGGCCTTCACAGCCTCAGGCATGCACGTGGTACACACACATACTTACAGGCAAACACTCATAAAATAAAAATAAATATTTGAAAAGTTATTTATTTGTATGGCTTTTTTGAAACAGCTCTGGCTCTGTAGATCAAGCTGGTCTTGAACTCAAAGAGATCCACCTGCCTCTGCCTCCCATGTGTTGGAATTTAAGGCGGGTACCACCATTCCAGGAAAACGTGTGTTTTTGTTTTTTAAAGGGTGGCAGCAGGAAATAAGGATCACACACTAGTTATTTCAGTCACCATGACTCTCCATGGTCAGCCATTAATTGCACACCAGGACAAGACGATGCACTCTGGGGCAGCCTGGTCCCTCTATGACATTGGGATCAGTGGTTGTGGTAGAGATATTCAGGTTATTCTGACTCAGTATTTTGGCTGATTTCCAGTCTAGGGCAAGGCTCTTGGTAGAGGGTCCGAGGGATCTTGGCTGCATAGCCTTGGAGCCAGACCCTGCTTCTAGTGGGAACGTGCTTCCCCAAACAGCCCTCCAGTAAGGTCCAGTCATTTTAGGTGCAAATCTACACAGAGATACCTCACCTCACAGAGATGGTACTCAACCTCAGTTTACCCCAGACTCAGAGCAGGTGGAGCATGAGTTTAGGGTCTTTCTTATGCTGCGGGCAGCCTGAAATACCGGCCCCTGTGTGGGCACTGTTGCCTCTGCGTGAAGAATGGAACCAGCTAAAGTGTCAGGCCCATTGGCCTATGCCATATAGGAGCATCCTTCCTCTTGCCAGTTTTTTCTTTTTTGTTTTGTTTTGTTTGTTTTTTCCATCTTTTGAGGCTGTCCTGGAACTTACTTTGTAGACCAGGCTGGCCGCCTCAAAGTCCCACAGAGATCTGTCTTTCTGCCTCTGTTTCCTGAGGTGTGCACCACCACACCTGGCTTTCTTTTGCCAGCTCAAACCCACCTTCCAGTCACGGAGAGCACACCCCTTTGATAACAATAACACCCCAGCCTTTCTCCCTCTTGTCATCCTGGAGATTCAACTCACTTGCCTTCTACCTGGGTGGGGATAGCTTCAAGATGAGCTAGCTCAGCTCACTCCAAGGGTCTACAAAAGACAGACACTGGGGCTTGAGGAGGAGCTGGGCTCCATGCTGTGGACTGTTAGCTGTCATTTTATAAAGCCCCTCCATTTTGGTTAAACAACAACAATTCCCCAAACTGATTTGTTTTTCTAGATTCTTGAGCTCCCTGCCCTGTCAATCTTCAAGAATGGCCAGGCAAGAGAAGTGTTTACTGATCACTTGATAGTCTTTAATTTACCACTTGTCCACTTGTCCCTAGTCAGCCCTAGCAACCAACAGAAAGCCCAAAGAATAATTTCACTCCCCTTCCTCGTTTCCTAGACCCTTCTGCAGACCTTTCTGCCAAAGAGTGTCTTGTCCCTTTGGCTGTCTGTACAGGGACCACAGCAATCCTGGGCCATCTCACTCAACCCTCCACATCTCCTTACAACACACCCATGGTCCACCTCCACTTACTGTCCTCATAGCCGCCATTCTGAGCCCCAAGCTGGCTTGGGGCCACACTGCCTTCTCCCTCAACCTCCCAGGACAAGGCTCAAATCCATCCCCTCCATCTCTGCAGCGCCCACTGTCCTACTCTGCTCGAATGGGCCCGGTGTTAGGGAGATGAATACAGCTCACCCCCACCACAGGCAGCCCTGGCCCTGCTACTCCCACACCCGCTATTCTGGGGAACCCGACATCTCTTAGTGGTCTCACTTTGACATATTGGCTTACCTGCATACACACATACACAAATACATCACACCCTGGGAAAGTTTGGGGAGGGATAGTGCAGGCAGCCAGGCGCTATCAGCCCAGCACTATCAGCCCGGGTAGCAGATACATACTCTTAAGGTCACTTCTGGTTTGGTGACTGGCTGGAACTAGCCAGAGTTGATGGGAGGAAAAATTAAGAGACTGGGAACCAAGCCTTCTAGGGAACACAACTCCACGGGATCGGGGACTGAGGCTTCACAAAGGAAACACCGAACCCTTGCTGGACTGGATGGGACCG